AATTACAACCGAAGTTTCATGAAATATATACATTTAGGCAACGGTGCTCCGCTACTACGCAGGGCTCCTATTTCTGACTACAGGGTTTGAATCGAAGTAACCTAGCGAATGGCATGACGGTAGTCATACGTCTTCCGTCATACCATTCTGACCTTTCCGCCTACATAGGTAAACATTTTTGCTAAAAGATTTTTCACCGGCACCGACTTCTCACCTATCAGTGGGTGTGTAAGCTATATGTCAGTGTCGCCGAGAACCTAACGGGTAACCGGTGCTCCGGCTCGACGTGCAGGAGAAGAAGGAACGGTGTGGTTTTTAGTCAGTAAGAGTCTAACACTTTCTCCCGCCTCACCCAGGCGGGAGCAGTCATTCGATGATTTTCCCCAATAATAGTTATTTTTTGCTTTTTAGTTTTTACTTTTCGTTTGTTTTTGAAGTCGGTTTTATTAAACACAGTTTTTTATTTTTATGGATACCAATTTAGCACAGGAATATGAAAAACAGTAGGTATATTTATGCAATTTAGATTACATATTTTAGTACCTAGGTATCTACTACGTTATTATTGAGCAAGTGAAGACCTCCATAGCTCTATCTCAAGTTATTTAAGTAAAGTCAATATAACCATTTTATTTAACAAAACTAAAAAACACACATCATCCTATCACATTATCTGGTCTCTTTTGCATCATTTGCATAGCTATCCCACTTTTCTTTGATCTTTTCCATTTTTCTCTTTATTTTTTTTTTAAATTGAGCACTTCGTTTTGTTATATGATTTATAAGACCCTTTATTTTTCACATTTCCATAAAGAGTCGACTCCTAGCATGATAATAATATGTTTTATGTTATGGAAAAAGTTTATGTCTAGCTGTGGACCTCTGGGTTGATATCAAGGGAGCTTAAAAAACTTGTAATTTCTAATCATTAGCCATAGAAAATAAAATTTATGCCTATACTTAATTCATTAAATTTATTATACCTTTCATATTAGTAAAATCCGACACTCAAAATGTTAATGAGAAGTTTGGTTGATTTTATTGTAATACGACTATTAACCGGGTTTTTTACTTCTTGTTAGTTTGCCAATCGGTTTTGTTTCTTCCTAACATTTTTTTAATTTATCGGTTTGTATTTAGATTATTATATTATTTTATTCATGTAATCAGTCTAAGGAAATAGTCTAACCTTACGTCTAAATAGACGTTACTAAATGAAATATAATTATATAAATATTTATGACTAACTACAACTAAACGTAATGAATAAAAAAATACCCATAATTAGACGTCAAAATACTTGTCCGCATCACTGTCACCGGGGACTGGGGAGCGTTCCCAGAAGACTGGCAACACTAGATGTTAGATCAAGTTACAGTGAATGCTGCTCGATCGCAAATCATAAAATTATAGAAAATATTATCAATCTGGATATTTTTGCAATTCTAAAGTTACTTTTTATAAAATTTGTCTTAGCAATGGTTATTAATATCTGGGTGTCTATGAATTGTCACGTTTAGCCTTTTTTTCAATGTCCTTGGTTTAGGTTATGTTTAGTATCTATCTTTGTGTATGTGTTTTGGTTATGTTATAATAATCTGTGGTCACGTGCCAAAAATGAAGACCACAGCCTATCAAAAATCAGTAGGTCAATGACGTCGATTTTGGTAGAATAACAAGCCCAAACAAGTAATCAAATACAACTGTTTGGCTATTTAAATATTCAATTCACGACATTTTTCGAAACCGTAGTTAAAACTATAAGTCTGATTCCAACGTTTATTTGGGAATCGAAATGAAATATTTACAATATTTACTTACCTAGGTATTTTTAAATCAGTAAACGTCTGTGACTATACGAGGAGTATTGGTTGCGTGTATTTCAAAACTAAATTATTCTACAAAGTTATATAACATTAGTCGTCCCAATAAAATGTTATTTGCATTAATTATGTTTGACATTTTATTTCAATATTTCGTAGCAAAACGTTCGCGTTCACGTCATTTCAACAAAACTTGTTTATTTGTACCATCTTTAATTGATTCTTTGGTCAAAGTAACATTTTTAATAAAGTTTGTGTTTAATTGTGTATATACCTAAATAATTACTAAAGACAGTCTGAGCGAAGAGAAAATATTTATGTCAATATAAAAAACATCAGTATCAGTAACAACATCAGTTTAAAAATACCTTCCATGACTTGTTACCGAGTGTATGAGTTAATTACGGCTTGTCTCAGTAATCTATCTGTCCAGAAAAGGTACTGAGAATTGAATTTTGTCACATTTTGTATGTCGCTTATATGAAAATTATATCTTTAGTAACTCATCGACAGATAGCTTATCCATAGTGATAAACTACTAACAGAAGACTTTACTGTTAAAATAGTAAATAAAATCGGTAAGTGAACAGGTCCTTGATTTATCATAGAAGAAGGCCCGCGTTGCCAAGGGATTTCCCAAAATCCTTGCAGATAAGGGAAAATACAATGTTTTATGCGCATATATAGTCCTCCTTATCGATTTCGGTTACGGCGACCCTTAATAGGTCCTGTCGTCGGAGTGCCTGGAGTAGAATTTCTACTCAAGTTGATTACAAAACATTTTTGTTTCACTCAAAGCAAAGATCACTCTACATTTTTATAATTAAAATATCCAGTTCAGTTTGAATTAAAGTTTATTAATAAGTTCCGGGTCAAACAAATGAGCTGCACTGCTGAGCAGGTTCAAAACAAAAACATATGCATTCATCTCTAGTCTCGTAGAGTTCGTAGCAACTAGATCGGTCGCACTCGTAGTCATGTGCTACGCAGTACCTACGTAGGTAATAAAATATATAAGTAAGCTACATATTATAGATATTTTTATGTATATCTTTACAAAGTGAGTTTGAGGACAAAACCTAAGTAATACCAGAGTATTATACATGCTTTTATTGTAAGAAAACTTAATGGACGCTGTGGCTACCTCTGTCGTTGGGGTTTTCTAATACCTCATAATTCCATATTTATTGAAAAATTATTTTCCTTTGTTATGCGGATTTGTTTGACATTTTATGATACCTATCTAAATGTATTAATGAATCACGCCGCTTAATTAATGTTTGGCAATACTGATGTTGTTTTGTTACCACACAAAGGAGTGGCTTCGCAACTGAGATTTCTAAACTTTATCAATCTGACTTTTTTCTTTTTTTTAAACAGGTTTATCTTTGGCCACATTGTGTACATCAAGACCTGTTCATTTAAGTGTAACGTGATACAAATTATTTAAAGCTAATAATAAATACAAGGTACTCACACTAAATAGTTGAGCTGCAACAGTAAAATTAATTCTTAGCACTAAGGAAGACACCGGCGAGCTTGGCCGCAAAACGATTTTCCCATACACATGACGTCCATCATTTTCAAAGTCAAATATGCCAGGACACGGCGACGACGAGTACTGGCCACACACTAAATCAAAACTTAAAATTAGAACACACAAACACACTATCTTCAAATCCATTTTTTTAATTTACGAATTAAGGTTCGCATTTTGCGATTTAAATTTATTCGTTTTAGTTCGTTCTCAGCGACGTGTTTCCATGCCTCCAATTGGCGAAGGACTGGCCATATTATCGAGATGGATGAGACATACAAAACAGATATTTCGCATAGTCCTTGTAGTCCGTCGACTTTTGAACTTTTTATTTTATTGTGGTATGTCGAGGACAGTTGTTCTTACTTGGTGTCAAGTTGATACATTTGTACATGTAATTAAATTTAAGTCAGGTGTGGATTCCATTAAGATCCAATGTGATTTACCTGAACTTATAAAATGTAACAAGGAAACAGTTTATGTATTTACTTACATAATTTACAATCTTCTAACTATAAATGATATTTATTTATCAGAGCCTCCTTTTAATACTAACTTAGCTTGTTTAAGATAGGATTGTCTTAAATGGAGACGTCATTTTTACGATGGCGTATTCAACATCACACCTATTCACCTATGTAGGTGGGTAGGTACGTCAGAATTATTTCCAAATCACTACCATTTACGTGATGCATGTTTATAAATATTTTGCAACTATTTTAATTGTTTGATTGAGGTTTTAAATAACTCGTTTAAGGAAAACATGTGGGTAAACCTTACCATGTGGTCATCTTAATATGAGCAGTAGAGGGTTTTGGCTGATTTTAAGTGCGTCATTTAAGGCATATAAGTCTAGTTGCTTCATTTTACATACCCTGCCCTCGGGAAATCCTGTTTCTTAAATATCCAATGATGATACCGCCTTCTACCTAATTATATGTTTTACAAAAGCCACTAAAGTTCATTAACATATTTTAACTTGTTTTCGAATAAAGCCTTTAGGTAAACACAACAAGGTCGCTTTTGTCGCAAGCGAGTGTATCCATTCAACATCTTCAAGCTTGAGTCAGTCTAGTATTAATAAAATTATCTCATTCGTTATACTGTATGAGACTACACGTGCTTAGCATGCAAAAATATAGGGAAACAACTACTTACTACAAGTATATAAAGCCACGTACTATATGTACATGTACCTATGAAGGCATCTTGTTTGGCAACACTTTTGAAGATTTACAATCATCAATAAATCATTTTGTCAGATTCCTAATCAAGACAGCCGACTACCGATCTTTACTTTGACTGTTGTGATGTTTCCTCAGTCAAAATATGCCAAACAAATCAATTTATTTAAATGAATAAAAAAATTGTTTTCGTACATTTTTTTTAAATTAATTTTCGATATTTTGATAGTAGACTAAATAATTTTTTACACTTCCAAAAAGTCTAGGTATTGGTACCTAGTTACTAAAATTCCGATTCCCAAAGGATTCTGCGAACGGTGACATTTTGGAGGTTTTGAATTTAATTTTTTAGACTGTGACACCCACAAGCCCGTCTTGAAAAAAAAACACGCCGAAACGTCATTGATTTACGCGGGAAAATAACAATTTGATTGATCACAGATAAAATAGACGATTCGTACGTAAACTTATTCTACGTCATTATTGTTTTTCTGATTCGATATTTTTCGTTATTTACTTTTAAATAGGAAAATGGATGGCGAACACGTTTTGGAAATACCAGTTTTGGGCGCCAAGTAAGCGGTCATAATGTGGTAGCAAATGTCATTCGTGATCTCAACGTGACTAAAGACGATATAATATTACAATTTTTCATCTAAATAGTTCATCTAAATATGCAGACATTTAGGTACCTATTTAAAATATTTGTATCTTTAAGTAATTTGCATCTTTTTATAGGGATGAAAAGAACCTACCTATCCTACTAATACTGTCGCGGAGAACCCAACGGGTTACGTAATTACGTTTTAGTCAGTGAGTCTGACACCCAGGCGGAAGTAGAAATACGATGATTTTCCCCCCTTAAAAAAATCCTACTAATACTATAAAAGCGCAACCTATGTGCCGTATATGTTCGTTTGTCGGTTTGTTAGCTGTACTACATCACGTCAAAACGCTTAAAGCGATCGAAATTTGGAACAGGGGTAGAACCGAGACGGTCGCGGTGGTGCACGTTGTGTTTACGCGCCTCCGAGATATAGCACGGAGGAGATCAACACCTCACTCCTTCGTGCATCTCGAGGTGGGGCTTAGCACGGGTTCAGGGGCTGTGGAAGTATGTGACTCCCGTACCGTCGTACGCACGTGTGATATGGGACACCGGGGGGGTTTTAGTCAGTAAGAGACTCACAGTCAGTTCCTTTCGTCCTCCCCAGACGAGGGGGCTCCAAGAGGATTTACCACCTTGGGGTCAAAAAAAGGAGTAGATTATTGTCTACAATAACACATAAGGTCACTTTTTATCCCGTTGAAAAGAAAGAAACTGGACGCTGGTAGAAGCTAGTTTTGAATATTGATTAAGCCTGGGTTTTCTTTTGTTTAACTCAATGTTGCACAGTCACTGTACCTATGTATGTACCAACTGCAAATATTATGTAGATAATAAAGTAAGCAGAGAAATACCTACTTAAGTATTTAATAATTTAAATCGTAACTAATTTAACAAACCTTTACGTATGTAGGTAATGTAATAATGTGCACCTACCTAGGGAGTTATTAATTCAAGTGTATTGACCTAATTGTAATTTTAGATTTGCAGACGGATATATTATTTTAATAGCTTTAAATTGAAGACATAATCAGTGCCTACGTACCACCAATAAGTACGAATAAAACAATTCTTGAAAAATCTCGAAAATCATCTTCGATTCATTCAAATCATATGCGCATATTTATGTACTTAACTATGCATGTGTGTGTGAATAAAATATTCACACGTCACAACACATGTGAATGCCTGTCGTAGTGTGTGTAAACGCTAACATGTTTTGTATTATCGCACGGGGGATTTACCTACACACACACAAGATATTTGGTTGTAACAGTAACCTTACAGTTTGTGACGATACGGAAAAACTTTCGCTGTAACCGTCGGCGGGCGTCGCCATTTTGTAAAAACCCTTTCGCGCGCAAATTCCTTGGGTATTTAAAAAAAAAAGTGATTTTGAATTTTTTTACTGCGGGTTTTTGCGTTTGCCACCACACTTGAGGTAATAGCCAGAAGTCTACCTGTCAGACAGTTATTAAACTAAGGCATGAGAAGGATAATATTAATATGGAATCATGAAAACGACTCTTGGCACAGCTAACCAACCGCAGTATGCATCACTATAAAATCCAACATACATGGAGTATCCAGGTATTGTTTTGATATCTGGGTCAAATCATTTTAGGTAGCTACGAATACTCTATTTACAATAGGTAGTTTTATTTTTTCTTTGTTTCTTTTCAATAAAATGTTGCTTCATTTTCTCCTAGATCGTGGGTATACAAACATACAGGTTCATATACACACGATATCCAGAAGTATTTACAGAAAATGCAGGTCATGGACTACACATGACAGTGCACCGCTGGACTCTTTTTGTTAGGATTTTTTTTATACTTTATAGGTCGACGTTTGACCACCATCTGATGGTTGGTAAGCGATGATGTGGCCGCCGATGGAGCACACCTTCCTATGAGCAACCTGTTCACTCGGGACTTGAAGACATCCAAGTCATATTTGACGGGAAACACAGACTCTGGCAAGGAATTCCATTCCTTAGCGGTTCGCACGAGGAAGTTCGCACGGGTGGCGCCCCGCCGTTCGTCTGGTGGTACGGTAGGATTTCTTATTTGTCTTGGCTAAGCGAGAGGGAGTGTCAGACTAACGTCATGCAGACTCTTACTGACTAAGAATCACTCCGTCCCACGTCCTGCTCCGTGCTAGGGCCTCTGTACATCACTCCTGCAATCCCGGTAGGGAACTACTTATGTCCTGTTTATATTTAAACTTTCGTGAGACATACTTAAGTAATTATTATGTTTTCAGCTTACACACGTCACTGTTTGACGAGTCTCTAGCATGATTTGAAACTAGTCGAGTACTTCGTCATCTATTCATAATAATTAATCTGTTACCCAATACTTGCCTGAGTGGTGATCGGTAGACTCCAGCGTCACAGTCACAGTACAACTGCTGTAAAAATAATATCGATTGAAGATCACAGTGTACAACGGTTCAGGCTTATCAAAGAATTGATTTACCTACTGTATAACACATTTTGTATGAGTGTAGACGTATTGAGTCTCAGAGGTTTCAGTGTGCTTACTCTTGAAACCAATCTCAATGTGAATGTAATTTCAATCCAATAAAAACTCAATACTTATCCAATGTCAAAACTATACAACCACAATCGTAGCTGTTAAAATAGCATTCAGAGTACGGAATTTATAGACAAACTCAATACTGTTTAGTTCATTCAATATCCACGTAATACGGATGCAATGGGCGCTAGTGTTGTAACTCAAGAGTATGAAATTTCACAATACCAATGTCGATCAATCGGAATTGGATTCAAGAGTAAGCCCTCAGGTCTTTAGTTTTTATATCTTTAGTTTTGTTGGTTTTTATTATAGTGTATTAGTGTCACCATTGTCATCTGAGGCTAGATAACTTTATCATTTAATTATTTTATGTTTAAGTTTGAGGGCTAGTGCTATAAACGGTTTAGCTTCTTCATTTTAATATGTGTGGGTAGGTGTACTGAATTTGTATTCTATAATATAATGGGGGGGGGGGGCTGACATTTTTTTCTTAGGATAAAAGCCCTACTTATAAAATAAAGATTTAAAATAAAAAAAACTTATATACTTTGATACTAATAACAAAGTTAGCATATGTACCTAAGACTACAGAGTATACTATACCTTAGCTTTAAAAAAAAAACAATTAGAAATCTTTAAATGAATGTGAGTAGCTTTTTGGCATACTTGTCTTACACAAGTAATTAGCGTTTAATTTCTGTTAAAGACTGACATTGATAAAGAGATTTGAAAAGGATTGAAATTATTCATTTCGTATATCTTTAAACCCATGGCTTCAATTCCACCTAACCGTTAGACACAAAACAACGGTGGCAAAATGTCGCCTAAAGGCTTTTGTGTAACTGGTTAACTTTAAAACAAACGGGTTGGTGACCGCAAAAATCTCATCTTCAGTGACGCTCAGAGGTGATACAGATTATTAAAACATTCAAAATGATACCTATTCGATATCATTTACATAAACAAGTAGATAAATATTTAAAAAGTTGAAATATTTGCGTTAGTTGACATTCCAAAAAGTTTTTATTATGACGCTATTGTGTGTTGTTTTTGAGGTCGGCTGGTGAGATGGATGAACCGGATGAAGAAATTAGAATGTCCAGTGCGTGGTACCTGTACCTACATTGTAACATGTTCGAATGTACAGGTTCCAATAATAGTTTTTTATTTTGTTTTTTATGGCATAAGCCGCTAAACGAGCAGACGAATCACCTGATGGTAAGCAATCAGCGTCGACCATGAACACCTGGAACACCAGAGGCGTTACAAGTGCTTTACCGGCCTTTTGAGGATTAAGAGTTTGGGACCTTGAGGATCGTTGGGGATTCAGGAATTCGGGAGATTAGGGAAGGGGAGGGTAATTGGGCCTCCGGTAACCTCACTCACACGACGAAACACAACGCAAGCGTTGCTTCACGTCAGTTTTCTGTAACGCCGTGGTATCACTCCGGTCGAGCCGGCCCATTCGTGCCGAAGCATGGCTCTATCACACTTAAAAACTTCCCACAGTTAACCATTTTCAGTTCTTTCTCTGAGCTGTCAACATTTTCGATGAATTTCGTACGAGATTACATTTCAGTGACGTCATAACTTTTTGCATCAACTAGCAGTACCTTCTAGCACACTTTCTCTTATTTTTTTTAAATCTAT